GACTCCAAGCATTACATGGATACACTTCTAAATTAGTCGATGTAGTATCAACCACAGGAAAATGACCTCTATGAAAGGTCTTAGACTCAGACCTTGCCTAATGCGCTTTATTCTACAAAATCCGGGTAGGTGTACACTATTAGGTCACTGAGGGACCAGGCTTTCTGAGACCTTAAAGGTTGCAAGTAGATCAAAGCTGGGCTCCTCTGCTGGGAGCATAGTTAAAATCTTAACACTTAGTGAAGAGTCCTAATTGACCACCAGGTGGCAGAGGTGTAGCACCCCCAGATCATGTCAGATTTTACCACCCTTAACCTGTTTTTTTGGTTCAGGTTTTAAGGACTGAGGCCTATCAAAACAACGTGACATAGGCACAAAGGACTTCCAGGACTCAAATTCAAAGGCGGAGTACTTTCAGCCTGTAGCTAACCACCAACCATTATTTACTAAGAAACCTAACTTCAACCCCTTTCCTAAACATCACAAAGTACCAAGTCACGTAATCTTTAAATGAGCCGAAGCCAACAATGTAGTTTTCCTTTAAAACCCTTTACCTAAAGGCAATCTAGTAACCTGTCAAATACAACTGTACTAACATCAACTCAGCTCACTGTTCGCCTGGCAGTTTTAAGACATGAATGCACAATTAGCTGCTCCAGGCCTTTCCTTTCCAGTTGATTCTATGGTAAACTCCAGAGTTCTATAGGTTAGTACCCAGCTCAAACAAGTTGAAAGTATTCCCTTAAGGGATATGCTGCAGGTGTTTAACTTGATTTATTCCTACATGGCCAACTACTTCCTTTTAGGTATCTATTATTCAAAATTTCCCATTCCCAAACTTTCTTCATGCCAGATGAAGAAGTTGGATTCCTCCCTTTGGATTTTGTTCCCCATCAACTTCAAGAGCACCAAGAGCGCCTACATCCACAGCTAGTTTCAATTTACCATAGCAACCATAAGCCTCGCTAATGGCAAACCCAAACCACAATTTTGTTGATTTGGAACTGAACCTGAGCCACTGACAACCCGAAGTTTCACCACTAGGCCAAATATCCAGCCCTCCCAAAACCAAATGCTACCTGTTGCCCTTGTACACATGGAGTCAGACAACTTTATGGTGCCAATTTTAAATACAGTTTTATTTAAGACATTGCATTTTCCACTTAACAATACAGTGCTTATAAAGTGCAATGTTTATTTCCTTTCCCTGTGCACATATTCCATATTCAAGTATCAAGAATGCCCAGTATATTTACTATAGCAGCTTGACTTTAAAACTGCCATGGAATTTGCTACAAATTTGGGTCCTTCAAATGTGTGGAACAATGCTAGACCTGTCATCAGGTTGGCTTAATCAACCTCTTCAATGGTGGGCCCAGAGGAGGCACCACCAGAGGGAGGAGCTCCACCACCAGGAAAGCCTCCAGGCATTCCTCCTGGCATGCCTCCTGCACTCTGGTATAGCTTCGTAATGATGGGATTGCAGACTTTCTCCAGCTCTTTCTGCTGATGTTCAAATTCTTCCTTCTCTGCAGTCTAACAAAAAAAAAAAAAAAAAAAAAAAGACATACCATAAATTCCTCAGGAAACTTCATGCCTGGTACAATCTGACAGTAACACTAAGCAAAAGCCTATCCCCACATTCAAGTCTTGGTCACCCATGAAATGTTGGGTCACTCAGACATCCAAGGAAGGAAGCTAGTTGCCAACACATGGAATTCTGGTGGAAACCGCGAATGTTTGGACCATTCATCATCGTGACCTGTATTTTTAGAAACCCATCTAATCTTTTCCTGCTGAAGCCCTATACCCACCACTATTCAGTAGGAATCACAAACCTGGTTCTTATCAAGCCAGTTGATGATTTCATTGCACTTGTCAAGAATCTTCTGTTTGTCTTCATCATTGATTTTGCCCTGAAGTTTTTCATCTTCAACAGTTGCTTTCATGTTGAAAGCGTAAGACTCCAGTGAATTCTTGGAAGACACCTTGTCTCTCTGCTTCTCATCTTCGGCTTTGTACTTCTCAGCTTCCTGGACCATGCGCTCAATGTCCTCCTTGCTCAAGCGGCCTGTAAGTTTTTAGACACAACTTTAAAACCTGAACCTTCAAGTTACCCTACAACATTTATAACCCGTGAAAGAAAGCTAAAACAGGCTTCTAGGATAAATGCCTTTGGGAGGCTTTGGAAAGTTAAAGGTTTTGGGAATACAATCTTATCTTAATGACCCACACCATCTTGTAAGGACAAAAAGTAACACTCAAACCTGTGCTTAACACTTACCCTTGTCATTAGTGATGGTAATCTTGTTCTCTTTTCCTGTGCTCTTATCCACAGCAGACACGTTGAGGATACCATTAGCATCAATATCAAAAGTGACTTCAATCTGAGGAACGCCACGAGGAGCAGGAGGTATGCCTGTGAGTTCAAACTTGCCAAGTAGGTTGTTATCCTTGGTCATAGCACGCTCACCTTCATAGACCTTGTTAGGAAAACAAATCATTAAGAAGCTGCAAAAGTTTAGCAGTTGTAGACTTCTGCATAAAATCCATTAGGAGGAAAGACTGATCGCTCAGACATCCAAGGAAGGAGTTGGCCAACACAAATCTTCTGGTGGAAACTACGAATGGTTTAGGTCAAATCATCACAGCGGGACAAGTCTTTCCGAAGCTACATAGAACCCTTAAGAATAGCCAAATCAGTACCGACAGTATAATCCATACCTGAATAAGCACACCAGGCTGGTTGTCAGAGTAGGTAGTAAAGGTTTGTGTCTGTTTGGTAGGAATGGTAGTATTGCGCTTGATGAGCACAGTCATGACTCCTCCAGCAGTTTCAATACCAAGAGAAAGTGGGGTGACATCCAATAGCAGCAAATCTTGAACATTTTCAGATTTGTCACCAGAAAGAATGGCTGCCTGGACAGCTGGAATAGAAACAGTTCGTTCAAAAAAATAATCCCAACCACCCTGTTAACTCACTAACAAAGGTCAATCGCTCAGACATCCAAGGAAGTTGGACCATCATTAGCTAAGCTTTTGGTGGAAACTACGAATGTTTAAATAATCAATCATCATAGCGAAAGCAGCCTAGGGCTTAACAAGGCCAGTGGTTACAACTGTTTAAAGGTTGAGGGAATAATTTACCTGCACCATAAGCAACGGCCTCATCAGGGTTGATGCTCTTATTCAGTTCCTTTCCATTGAAGAAATCTTGCAGAAGTTTCTGAATCTTGGGGATACGGGTAGAACCGCCCACCAGAACAATGTCATGGATCTGAGACTTGTCCAGCTTGGCATCTCGAAGAGCTTTCTCTACAGGGTCCAGGGTGCCACGGAACAGGTCAGCATTTAATTCTTCAAACCGGGCACGAGTAATAGAGGTATAGAAGTCGATTCCTTCATACAGAGAATCAATCTCAATACTGGCCTGGGTGCTGGAAGAAAGTGTACGCTTAGCCCGTTCACATGCAGTACGGAGACGGCGGACGGCCCTCTTGTTTTCGCTGATGTCCTTCTTGTGTTTGCGCTTGAATTCTGCAATAAAATGGTTGACCATTCTGTTATCAAAGTCTTCTCCACCTAAGTGGGTGTCTCCAGCTGTGGACTTGACCTCAAAGATCCCATCTTCAATAGTAAGGATTGACACATCAAAAGTGCCACCTCCTAAATCAAAGATCAACACGTTCCTTTCAGCTCCAACCTGCAATTAGAATACAAGACAGTTACTCATTATGCATACCTCCTAGGTCTCTGATCTATAATATATGTAGTAAGGTGAATCCTATTCTTCACAAGTGGTACATACCTTCTTGTCTAAGCCATAAGCAATAGCAGCAGCAGTTGGCTCATTGATAATTCGAAGTACATTAAGACCGGCAATAGTTCCAGCATCTTTGGTAGCCTGACGCTGAGAGTCATTGAAGTATGCAGGTACCGTGACAACTGCATTGGTAACAGTCTAAGAAAACAAAAGGTGGCTGTAAATCATCTGTAAAATTGTCCGCAGTCACATGGTCATCGTCTACTTTTGTGTGCTCTCAAAAGAACAAGCGTGTTTTTAAACGTTTTACTTCTCAGTTGTGGCCACTAGATGTTCCACAGTACTCAAAATCCCATGCATTCATCAGGGAATCTGGTGCATGTTTCAACCTTCAACTACCTTCCTGTAGGGATGCACACGGATGCACACTACTTACCTTCCCAAGGTAGGCCTCTGCAATTTCCTTCATCTTCGTCAGGACCATAGAGGACACCTCCTCTGGATAGAAACTTTTGGTCTCCCCCTTGTATTCTACTTGGACTTTAGGCCTGCCAGCATCATTCACCACCATGAAGGGCCAATGCTTCATATCAGATTGGACGACAGCATCATCAAATCTACGTCCAATCAGCCGCTTGGCATCTGTAAAAGGTCACCGAATGGAAAGTTTTGTTACACTACTATCCACCGAGGAAGAACCTAGTCCGCCATCACTCAAACGCCAGGAGCACTAGTAACCAAACTTTCTAGTAAACGGACTCCTTCTCTGACAGTCATCCAAACTATTTATTAAAATACCTCAAACTTTTGCATAACGTTTTGTTATCACCACTGCAACATATTTTACGATTCTTTTCCAGGCTTTCATGGCTGCCTCACACTCCATAAACTTCTAGACTTCCACCACCCGCACCTACACTCCACGCCAGGAGATCTAAACCAACGGCTTACCGAAAACCGTGTTGGTGGGGTTCATCGCAACTTGATTCTTCGCAGCATCACCGATCAATCGTTCGGTGTCCGTGAAAGCGACATAACTTGGGGTGGTTCGGTTTCCCTGATCATTGGCAATTATTTCCACTTTCCCGTGCTGGAAGACACCCACGCAGGAGTAGGTGGTGCCAAGATCGATCCCGACTGCAGGTCCCTTAGACATAGTTGCTAGGATTAAAAAGGAAAGCGAGCCCCTGGGTTTTAAAACGGGACTGAACACCTCGGAACGCTTCCTGCGACAACTATGCCACCGAGTACGAGCCCGCTTCCCCCGCCCCGAATCGCCGCCCGTGTGGGAGAAGCCCGCGGGACGCCGGGGCCGGCAGCGCTGCAGCCGGGGTTGCCGTGCCAACGGCGGCGGGGCCGGCCCAGACCGGAAGGTGCACCTGCCCCGAGGGTCTGCGACAGTTCCGAGCACGTGGTGTCGGGCCCTGGAGCGCCGCTTCCCCCCGTCGCCGTGACCGGCGCTCCCGGAGACCACACAATGCTGCCCGGGGTACGTGCTCCAGCCCCCCCCCCCGCCCCGCTCCCGGCGCTGGCCGCACGCCAACGGCGCCTCGCTCCTCACAGGACCTGGAACTTCCGCGCCCCGAGGGCGGAAGCGGCCCGGACGCCACCCGGCCGCCGCCGCCGGCCCCCGAGGCTGCAGCCCACGCCCCGCGCTCCGGACCGCCGCCCGGCGGGGAAGGACGCGCCCCAGCCCGGCAGGGAGGAGAGCGGCGGCTCCGGACCAACCCCCACCCCCGCCCCCACACACAGGAAGGCTCGAGGCCCCCCGGGCGCCGCCCACCCGGCCCGGCCCGGCCGCCGCCGCCGCCGCCCGCACGCCCCTGAGGAGCCGCCACAGGACCCCGGCACGCCCGGGCCTTACCTTCTGTGTGGGCCGGGCTCGGCTCGCGGAGACAACAGCCGTCTGCAGATCTGGCGCCGCGTTCAATGAGACCGGTTTCCGCCCGCCACCCTGTCTCTTATACCCTGCCTCAGAACCTTCCAGAAGGGGCCCACCCCTGCCGGCTGCCCATCACGGCGGCGTCGGCCAATGGGCGCGCGGCCACCTCGGCGAGCCCCAATGACGACGCCGGCTCCCGCCCCGGGCCTCGCCCCCTCCCGCCCCCATCCCACCCCCCCTCGCGATGACGCACTCACCGCAGCGTTCTGGAACTTTCATTCTCGCCCCCGCGCTCCGAACGGCCCCGGGGAAAGGGAGGGTGGAGCCGAGAGAGCCCGCGCGCGGGAGTCCTCAGTCACCTCAGGCGGAGGGGGGGGCGCGAGGGGGGGCGAGGGGGAGGGGCGGAGGCCGCGTCCGCTTCTGCGCAGGCGCCGTCGCAAGCGCGCGCGGGAGGGGCCGGAAGGAGGAGGAGGGAGAGGGGCGGGCAGCGTTAGAGCCAGCCAATGGCAACGGCCCTGGCCGCCAGCGGGCTCGGCCGCGGACCCGGGGGGAGGGCGGACCCGGCGGCCCGGGAGGGAAGGCGGAAGTGGAACGAGGACAAAATGGCCGCGAAGGTTGTGCGCCCCTCCCCCCCTCGGCGTCGCCCGGGGTCCCCGAGGCCCTCGCGGGGCCCACGTTCCCGCGTCGCCTGCCTGGTGCTTTGGGCCGGGTGTGCGCGCTGGGGCTGGGGGGGCGGGAGCGGGGGCGGGGACCGGCCCCGGGGCGCTGCCAGGGTGCCCTGCCCGGGGGTGCGCCGGGCGGGTGAGCCAGGCCGGCGCCCGGAGTCCTCAGGCTGCGGGGCCCGGGCCTGCGCCCTGCCCCTCCCCCCGCCGAGGCCCCGGGTCGCTGCCCGCCGCCCCGACCCCGGCCCCCACCCCTACTCCTCAGGTGTCTGTGGGAGGAAAGAAAGGCCCGCGCGCGGCTTGCTCCCGCGGAGGAGAACCAGGCCTGAGCGGCCTGGGCGCCGGCGGCCCCGTGCCCTTCACCTGGGGCGTCCCAGGCTCCCTTATTTTCAGTGACCAGGTGTGTGGTTCTATTCCCTTCCTGGATTTCTAAAAAAGCTCGCCGAGAAACCCCCCAGGGGCGTCCTGAGAACGGGATTAACCGAGTGCGCGAGACGGTGGTGCTGATAGCGGGGCGGCGCGGCGCGGGGCGGCGTGGGGGCGGGCCTGCCGCCCGGGCCTCTCGGAGCCTCGGTTCCTTGAACTGTCTTCCGGGGGTGTTCTCCCACACAGGCCCGGCCGCTGCTCTTCTTATTAATGGATAAATGGGCGGATGAAAAGATTATTATTATTTTTTTTCTAAAGACCACCTAACCGTGCTGTGGCTGTAATCAGAAAAGCCCTGCAGGCGGTGCCTCCAAAAAGCCTGTCAGAAGAGGACACCTTGTCCTTGTCCAAGACAGTAAGGCCTAAAGCCAGATTCAAACATGTGAAGGAAGGGTGGGTTTTTGTTGTTTTTTTTTTCATGTTTTGCCTTTGCGTTTTCCGGGGGTGGGTGGGTGGGGGAGGGCAGCGATGGCTTGAGCACGTGGTGGCATATGCTTGAATTTTGCCCCACTTCCCAAGAAATTGTTTTTAGGGTGCTTTTACAACACAGAGAGTTCTTTCATCTGTTAATATATAACCACCGGAACAGTTTTCTGGGGTGTATATCGTATATTCCTGTATTAGAAGGAAAATGAGGTCCAGAGACGCTATCTGTAGGATTTACAGTTGGCTGAGCTAGAATGGAACCTAGCGCATTTGATTCCAGAATCCTTGGTCTGTTTTTTTTAGTTGCCCTATAGTGCAGTTTTTTTTTTTTTTTTTTCCTAGAAACACATGTAACTCCCAACTCGGAGGAGGAAGATGTGTGCCGTGGGAGGCTCCTTTCCAATTTATTTGGTATCTACCATCTTCCTTTTCCCGCTCAGCCTATCAAAAACCTACATTTTGCAGCTTGTGACCTCTGGACTGCCTAACCACGTTTTAACTATTGAGCCACCCGACCATGGAACAAGGTCCCAAATCCAGTGCCTTGGAGTATCCCACCTAAAGTCACTGATGAAAAAAAGTAGATAACCTGTGTGTGCGGTCACTCACAGCGCGTTGTAGAACTTGAACTGTGCGCTCATTAAATAGAATGATTCAGAGTGTATGTATATAAAGCTTATGACCAATGTCCGGTATCCGCCTGTTTACAAGCTTTCAGACACATTCAGGATCGAAAGATTAAAGTTTGGGGGCATAGGGACTGCAGTGAAGTCTGAGGCATGGGGTTTCTGGCTGGGGAGTGGGGTCGTGAACATACTGTTGTCCCTGTCACATATCCAAGCACTAAGGGTTCCAAGGGCTTTGGATGTATTACCTCATTTAATTTTGTGAAGTTTTTTTTTTTTTCAGATTCATTTGAACCTCTCGGTGCTTACTTCTTTTGAGATTTGTTTGAATCCCTTAGTGTGTAGTTTTGTCGGCACCTCACCTTGGCATAAAATATTTGCATTGTGAATGTTAGTTATTTTGATAAGGTCCTTAAAAGCAGCATCTCTGTCATAACTTGGTATTCTCCCGTACCACTAAGCATCTCGCTTTGTTAGGAAACAGTACTTTGGTGTATTTGTGACTGAAATCAATAAATAATAGATGATATTCAGACTGAGTTCTGTTCTTCTTTTGGCAGCAAGCTAATGAACACATTTCCAGTGCAGGTTATATGACCTTCAGCTTCTCCTACAGTATATCACCTTTACTTATTTATTTTTTAATTGCTGATACAGATACATCTGTAATAAATATTTGGTTTCTGTGATCAAATACAGTCTCAATTACAAGGCAACTTAGAAGTTAAAATATAAACAGCTTAACACCAGAAATTAAGCAAAACTGTGTGTTTTTGCAAAAGCAATTCTGAAATTATTTTTATACAGTGTAACAACAAGGGCATCCACTTCATTGTTTCACAAATTTAAGTTTGGTTTATATATTTTACTGAAATGGTTATTCTCCAAACATTCACATCCTTCCGTTGGGATCTTCACACTAAAAATGTTTTTCTTTCTACTTTTTAGTTATCTGTTTTGTTTCATATTAACGGATCAGGTTTATTTGACTTAAAGTTAATGGAATATGGTTTGAAACCAGTAGTGTCTCAAAACTTTATCTTAAGCCCAGAGCTTGCTGTATCTGAACCCAAAAACCTGACTCCAAGAAAAGTGCACTATCATTGCTTAAACTTGAGCACCTTATCTCTCAGAAGTTTCAATTCCTTAGAATTTCTCAGATTTTAGGTAGTTATCGGTCTTGTGAATTTTTTTGTAGATTTCCAGTGTGAACAGATTTCCAAAATCTGGCTATTCAACGGGTATTTTAGTCTTTTAGTAACTAACATGTTTAAATAACCTCAATCTCCATATCATGCAAAGGGGACGGATTCCTGCCTTCAAAGACATATGCAGGAAACCTTAGGTTCAAAGGTAGTAAGTAACGATTAGAGCAAATTGCTTGTGATGATAGAGCTGCAGCCTCCATAGTGACTTGTTTGGCTCAGGTTCTATAGGAATGAGAATCCTCAGAATTACATAGCAGAGGTGATAGGTTACCACATTACCAGAAGAATAAAAAAGTATAGAGCATGGAAGGGGTTTTATCTTACAATGAGGCAGTGTTAGTATTAAGCATTCCACATATACCAGCCTTCTTAAATCAATAGACATTCTTTACATTACTTCCTCAATGTCTCTTATCTCCCAGCCTTTTTTTTTTTTAAGAGGAAGACAAACCTCAAATGACAATTTTCACCCAAGCATAAACCCCCTCATTTCTTAAAGAACCTTAGAAGAAAATGTATTTGCACTATATGAGGGCTGTGGTAGAAGAATTAAATGTAGAAAGGAAAAACCAGAAAAATGGGGCCAAATCCCAGATCAGCCTTTTCAAGCATCTGATTCCCATTTTAGAAACAATGCTTTCATCTCCAGATTCAGCATGACTTTTTCTTTCCTCTAACTTGCTGCCCTTTTAATCATAAATATTTTGCACTACCAATGGAGATCTGTTGACATTTGCCCTGAGGTCCTTGCAGGACTTTTTCAGGTCTATCATTTTTGCCATTGGATGCATTTGACTCACAGGATAGTCAACACTATTAAAAAGGCAAGTTCTCGTATTGGAGGCTGCTGCTCGCTTTTTATTTCTCACACACCTTTCTTCCATGAATCAACTCTTAATGATGGTTATTGTGGTGAATCATTTCTGTTCATTGTTTCCAAGATGGTGACAGTTCAAATGTTAGCAGTCACTAATCCTGCCCTGTCCTGCCACCCACGAGTTATCCTCACCATCCCTTCCCTAAATATAATTCCCTTTCCTTCCAAACCTGGACTTCCTCGGAGGCTAAGCTGGGAAATTACTGAATTTATTTCAGCCTCTCAGGAGGGAATGATTATGACGTCCTTGTAATGCCATTAGGAAACGCTGGCAATCCCTGATCTTTTTGATAATTTAAGCCCTAGAATTATCAAAAGTCCCAGGTTCACATCCTTCTCCTAAAATGAAAGAAATGGAGGAAGCTCCAGGTTTGGTGTAATAAACTTCCTTATATTAAGAGATAACTGATCTAAGCTCCCTTTATAGTTTAGTCAGTCTTAGAATTCTGATTTTATAGGTTCTCAGAAGAGAACACAACGATATATCAATGATCTTTTAGCATCTCTGAAAGATTTCTCTCTCGAAAAAGCTTCTAAGAACATTGTCAAATGACACATAGTGAACGTTGTGCTCCAGAGATATCCTCTAGCAGGGAAGTCCTCAGAGACATCTGATTTGAGGGTTACTCCACAATTGGTCCAGTATGGATTTCTGGTTATCTGTCAGTGACCCTCTAAATGAACATCATTAAGATGGAAAGTTTTTCACAGGCCCCTGTCACACATTTTGAATTCCTTTCTTAGTTCTCTTATGGTTCTCTATAAGTGGGAGGTTAGGAGTGGATAGAGGGGGGAGAAACTCAAATTATTCTTCATCTCCTACTAGTTCAACTCCTTATAAAATCAATATCCAAACCTTATGGTAAATGAAGTCAGGTCAGAAGAAACATATTTCCTTTTTTGAAATTTCTCAGAAGCAATATGCCCAGTACGTGGTGCAGGTAGGTGAAATATAAGGCTGTGGGTTCCACTTGACTGAATAAGCACAATAATCCAGTAGGTTTGCAGAAATGCATAGAAAATTTATGAACAACATTTCATTTCTTCTTGACAATGGTGAGTCGAAGTATTGATACAAACAAAACATCTCAGGTGAGAAGTTTTAAGTGTGTGCAGTTCCCCTTTCCCCAACCTTTTCCACCACAGGTCCTGGTCAACAAATACACAGATTAGGACCCCTGCTTTCCCCACTCTGGTCTCAAGGCACCATGCCTTTCTGGAGATGATCAGCTTACATCCTTTTTCTTGTTTGGTGCCATATAAAGAAAGTGTTCATTTGAATCGGGTCCATGCAATGCTCACTGCTACTTAAATGGCCTGTCATCTGGTTCGAGGGGGTTTGTGTGGCTGGTGACTGAGCTTCAATGACTAGAAGAGTCCTAAGATCCTGACTCCTAGGAAAGCATGGGAGTCAAGTCCACTCTAATTCGGATGGTTTGGAAGGCTCTGGTCTGGCTGGGGATCATGCTGGGTGTGGCTCTGCTTTGGTCAGGGTAGCATGGTGGACTTTCTTTGGTTCAGAACCTCTGCCCTCTGGCCCCACTAGGCTGTATGCATGGGTGGCCAGCCCTGGCTGGGGCGCTGCTTCAGTTGACAGTGTCCGCTGGCTGCGTGAGGCACTATTAGCTGTGGAGCGAGTGGAGGAAGAACCAGAGCGTGAGCTCCGAGATCCTGAGGAAGAGGAACTAGGTTTCACGAGACGGGCTTTTGGGGCTTCCGCATCTTCCCTGAAGAGAAAAAACAGCAAAGGTAAACTTCAATACAGGCAAGACCAAGATAGTTTCCACTATGGTTGCTTCCTTCTGAGGTTTTCTAAAACTCCTCAAGCTGTAAACTTCACATGATCCCACTGAGGGGCAGCCCTTTAGGGGAACGGGGACTTCCCTGGTCCCTGAGACTTTATCAGGTTGGCTTGGGCAAATGGATGTTTTGTTAGACCCGAAGTCAACTCTATTACTCTGGGAAAGCAGGCACTTACCATTGAGATTGATTTGGGGTCTGTCTACATAAGCCTTTTTTTTTTTTTTTAAGTAGGCTCCACACCCAGCATGGAGCCCACCACCCAGCATGGAGCAGGGCTTGAACTCATGACCCTAAGATCAAGACCTGAGCTGAGATCAAGAGTAAGCGACTGAGCCCACCCAGGCATCCCTAAGTAAAGCCTTTCATGGCCCATTCTTCACTTCATGGCCCTTTGTAAGTGGAAGTGAATCAGAAGTAACAAAGTTGATCTTTTTTTCTTTTTCTTTTTTTAAAGATTTTATTTATTCATAAGAGAGAGAGAGAGAGGCAGAGACACAGGCAGAGGGAGAAGCAGCCTCCATGCAGGTAGCCTGATGTGGGACTCGATCTTGAGACTCCAGGATCATTACCTGGGCCCAAGGCAGGCGCTAAACTGCTGAGCCACCCAGGGATACCCCAAAGTTGATCTTCTAATTCTCAGTTGAGGACAGTTTCACAATAAAGGCAAGGTAAACCTGAACTTCTATCCCCAGGCTGGAACTCCTTACCTAACCAGAGTAATCCTTTGAACAGATTCATAGTTAAGAGGAAATGGGAGGGGTGCCTGGATGGCTCAGGTCACCTGATATCAGGGTCCTGGGATTGAGCCCTGAATTAGGCTTCCCACTGAATGGGGTCTGCTTATCCTCTGCTTCTTCCACCAGGCTCCTGCTGTGTCTCTCTCCCTTTCACTCTCTTTCTCTCCCAAATAAATTTAAAAATCTTTTAAAAAAATAATTTAAAAAGGGGAAATGGGACATTTACGTTGGCTAGTCACTATGGAGCTAGCCCAGTAAAGGAAGTCTAGTAGAAGGGATTTTGAAGGGAGGTTTACCGAATTTCATTAGGTCTCTCTTCTTCCTCATATCTCTCTTTGTCTTTCCTTCGGATTAGCAGCCATACCAAGAGGAAAATCAGCAGTGCTCCAGCCACCATGCCTGTCACTGCTCCTGCAACCATGCCGATGCTTTGTACATCTATTTTCTCAGAAACAAAAACAGAGGGAAAAACCAAACATAAGCTAAGGAAATACATGAATTTAAAAAACATAAGCCCTGGCACGCCTGGCCAGCTTAGTAGGTGAAACATGTGACTCTTCATCTCAATAATTCTTGATTTGGGGGTTGGGAGTTTGAGGCCCACCTTAGAAATAGACTTTACTTAAAACAACAAACAAAAACATAAGTGCCAGACGAGATGAGTATTTCCAGATCTTTCTATCTTTTTGAGTTTCCTATTTACTCTTGGTGTATGACTAACCTTCTTGATATTGAAAGATAGCAGATTATACTACCCCAAAGTATGCCTCTTTACCATTAGGACAATTTTACACTGATTTTTTTGAAGGAGTTTCCACCCAATATAGGGCTTGAACCCATAACCCTGAGATCAAGAGTCTATCTGCTGACTAAACCAGCCAGGTGCCCCCTTAAGCTGATTATCTTTGAGACACAGCAGACCCAGGAGAAGTTCTAAAAATAAAGTTGGCCTTTTATAAGGTAAATTTACATTTATAAAGGACATCTCCATTTGGTCCCCTCCTGGATATAATAAATTTCTTTAGGGAGCTGACAAGTTCACACATGTTCCTAAATACAGAGTTAGCCACAAGAGTGGAATGGTCATTGCAACTACTGAACTTACCTTACCTTAGTGATAGCCGTGTCCTTCTGGAAATAAAAGCTTTTACCCTGACCTTACTCTTATTTCTGATTAAAAGTGTTTTTACACGGAACTATCAATGCAAAGGCGAGAACAAGCCCTTGGGATACTTACACCGTACAGTCACTCGCACCACACAGCTTTCCTTCCCAGCCTCATTGCCTGCTGTACACTGGTAGAGCCCAGAGGAGGACATGGTGAGATTGTGCAGCAGAACGCGTCCAGGGTTATTGTAGTCTACAAAGCAGAAGGAATGATTGTAATCCCCTTAGTGACAAGGTCTCTGTTTATTGTTTACTTTATTGCATCATTGACCTAAGATTCTCAAATACTGTTTGGTAAGAATGAGATGATAGATTTTTTCAGAATGTGGAAAAAAAGGTGAACATTCTTTTAAACTGCACATCCTCTGAATACCTACCATTTATATCTACATGGATGGAACTGGAGGGTGTATGCTGAGTGAAATTAAGTCAATTGGAGAAAGACAATTATCATGAGGTCTCAGTCATACGTGTGGAATATAAGAAATAGTGAAAGGGACCATAAGTGAAAGGAGGGAAACTGAGTGGGGAAAGTTAGAGAGGAAGACAAACCATGAGAGACTCCTAACTCTGGGAAACAAACAAAGGGGTGTGGAAGGGGAGGTGGGCGGGGGATGAGGTGACTAGGTGACGGGCACTGAGGAGGGCACTCGATGGGATGAGCACTTGTTGTCATGCTATATGTTGGCAAATTGAACTTAAATAAAATTTAAGAAGAGTCTTACAAAAAAGTCGCACATCCTCAAGAGTTACAAAAGACTGTGAACGGGTAAGGGATAGTGAACACAATAATTAGATATCATGGGTATGTGGTACATCTCCCCCTCACTTCTTTTGCCACTTTTATGTGCCATTTGAGGGAAGAAAAGGTGGATGAAAAAATAGAAGCTCAAAGAGGTTCAGCAGTGTGTTCAAGGTCACTGGTAAGTTGCTGACAAAACCAGATTTAGAACCCATGGCTAGAGTACCATTCTGTTGCCTCAGCAGACTGGTGGAAGGATGACCTACCAATCCTAGACTTGGGAGGGAGATGCTCATCCTCTCCCTCCTTCTCCCGGATCCGCTGCCAGTAATACACGATGGGCTTTGTGCCAGAGGCTGACTCACACTGCAGAGTCACGTCACTTCCTTCTGTCAGCTCTCCTTCCAACTCACATTTGGGCTTTGATGGTCTCACTGGCGAAAAGAAAAAGCTTCAAGGATTGCCAAACACCAGATTCAGTGGAAGAGCTATGTGGTGTTGAGTTGTTTCTCTAGCCATCTGTTATGGTCAACTTCTGAGTGGGGGGATTCAGTGACCTTTTGCTACGTAACCATGCTTTATGCCACCCCCAGAAGTACACCCACCTCCATCCCCTGCACACACACACACCCAATTCCAGCTGCTTCCAGTGGCGCTACTGTAATTTTCAGAGGCTGCCCTAGAAACTCCCTCGTCACTTCTCAAAGAAGACACTGTTATTTAATTGGAAATTTTAGGACAGTTGAGTGTGATTTTACTAATACTGAAACAGGGATAGAAGTCCACTAACTTGGAAGCAATTAAATACAACTTAGTAGCTCTTGCTGCCAGAAACGGAGTTGAATCGTATTTGAGAGATGTCAGGTAAATATAAGAATATCACTTAAACATTAGAGGAGATTTAAATTTTGAAAATGGTCTACGATGGAAAATTGTGATTATTCTTCTTCTTTTATTATGTATAGAATATAGAACATACTTCTTCCCAGGGAACTGGACTAGGTGATCTCTGACTGCATAATACAGGGTATTAAACAAAGTTATGTACCACCATGATGCATTTGGCTATTCCTCGCAGAGACCTTATTAATTAGATGGAGGCATTTACCTTGGAACACTCTAGCTTACCTAAGACTTTTAAGATGACATGGCTCCACACATAGCGCCCTGAATTCTTCACCTTGCAGCTGTACCGCCCCTCATCACTGGGCTTCAGAGGCTCAATCTGCAGGGAAGCATCTCCTGCCAGGAAATTGGAAGCAAAGGCCACTCGGCCCTTCTGTTCCTCAGTCAAGTTACTGTAGACATGACGGCTGGAGTAAGTGATCACCTGTGGAATAGACCAAGTGGCTCTCAGCCTTCATCTTTTGATTATGTCAAGATAAGGAAAGGGAATACTGCTAATGGAACAAAGCAGTCAAGCCCAGGGCTGATTCTCAGGGTCAAGAGACCTCTGATCTAAATAAAGTTAAAAGCAAAATATGTTTGGGCCTTGCTTCTTCCCAAGCTAACACCTCTTATTTGTGTAGCATTTTAATTACATAGCAGTAACCATTTCATTAAATGCTCAGAAGCACTTCATTTTATAGGTAAGGAATTTTACATTTGAATTACATGTTCAATCAAGTTCACATAACAGTCATGGAAGGAAGGGAATGCACAATAAAGGCATATAATGGTATGAAGAGTTGGCTGTGAGACTTGGTAGAAAAGGATAGGGAGGAGGGAGGAGACTTCCCTTTCCCCTGCATACCTTTTTTTTTTTTTGAGAGAGAGAGAGAGTGAGAGACAGCACAAGTGGGCTCTACACCCAGCCCAGCGTAGAGACCAACACAGGGTTCAATCCCCCCACCTTGAGATCATGACCTGAGCCAAAATCAAGAGTTGGACACTCAACCGGCTGAACCACCCAGGGCACCCCTCCCCTGCGTACCCTTTCTGACGTTTTTAATTTCTTATCACCTGCATGTGACCTATTCAAAATACACTACATTCCTTTTGCTCAGCACTTTTACATCTAGTTTATTTTTCACATAATGTTTTTGCAAGTTAAGTAATTCCTCCCCTTCTCTGTGGTTTCACTTCCTGTGATGTCAGTTACCCAGGGTCTGGAAGCAGATGATCCTCCTTCTGCCATACTGTCAAAAGGCCAATAGTAGTCTAACACTGTATCACAGTGCCGTGTCATTCCCCTGACTGTCTCATTGCAGAGGCACTGTATCATCTCACATCATCATAAGAAGAGTGGGTATGGTACAATAGGATTTTGAAAGGAGAGAAAAACCGCATTCACAGAACATTTAAATTATTATCATTAATTTTTTACTGTGCCTAATTTATAAATTAAACATTACCATTGATGTATATGTATAGGAAGAAACATATATAGGATCGTATATAAGATTTGGTACTATTCATGGTTACAGGTATCCAGGGGAGGGGGAGGTTGGAACATACCCTGCACAGATAGGAGGGGAATACTGTAGTCATTATCCCCATTTCACAGATAAATAGCATAACTGGGATTTGAAAATAACCATCTTAAACCATTTAGTTCATTGTCCTGGTATACCAGTTACCTCTCTCCCACTTCCTGTGGCCATCTGCATTCATTTCACTGCTAATTAAGTACTCTTCCAAAAGTTTGGAAATGAAGGTGGGAAAGTGACACTGTAAAATCCACCTGCTTTGTTCTTACAAAAGTTTAGAGCCCAGCCAAAGGGACTGGAGGAGTTAAAGAATAGAAGTCAATGCTTAAAATTTGAGTCTGATACTGAGGACTTCATTATTGGGCTTTCCTTTGCGGGGCTTCACTGCCAACTAGTAAGAGGAAGTCGGGGGAGAAAATTACATCCCTTCCTACCACAAAATACACATGAGCATCATGTCTTTATTTTTCCAGGTAGAGACACCAAAGTCTAAAAATCCGGGGGTGGCTGGTTGCTCAATGGGTAGAGCATGCGACTCTTGATCCTGAGGGTTGTAAATTCAAGCACCACATTGGGCATTGAGCCTACTTAAAAAATCATAATAATCTTAAATTTTAGTGAAATTTCATCTGCCTGCATCACAGCTGATAGTTCTTGAATCCTTTCCTGGTTCTGTTTGTCCATCACCTCGGTAGGTCCTGTCAGTCACAAAAACCATGCTGATCTAGTCCACCAAGACTTCAAGCTATACTTCAGCTTTGCCCTTTCTGCCACTCAGTGTATTCTTAAACTCATTTTATTTTTTTAAAAGATTTTATTTATTTATTTGAAAACTCATTTGATTTTAAGTGTCAGCAGACATGAGGCTACTCAGATGAGTAAAACCCTCTTCCTGTCTTCAAGTAATTTATCATCTAATGGGATTAACAAGTAGAGAAGTATAAACATAGAAAAAGGATTAATTACTTGAAATAGTATCAGGGAGCAATGTCCCAGAAAAGTTGGAGGCATTTGTGCTAGGCTTTGAAAGATAAGCAGACTAAATGAGAGATAATGGAGTCAGGGAGAAGAGGGCTGCAGGGAGCATTCCAGATACATGCAAGGGCACTAAAAACAGGCATGCAAGCATACAGGAGTCTCCTCAGCACATTTCTGGCTGCAGCTGTTCAAACTGGTTGCATCAACTCAAGTCAACCCCATCCTCAATCATGTGACACCCTGCAACCATACATCAAATGCTTTCCTGACAATATTTGAGGCCATCCAATAAAATGCCCAACAATTCTCTCTCCGTTATATCAAAACTCTTCAGTAGAATCCGTTTGCCATCACCACCTTTCTGAAAAATGTGTTTTTTCCTTTCTCTGCATGCTCTTTTTCATCAGCAAATATTTATTGAGCTCACATTCCAGGGTACTGTGCCAGATGCCGGAAAAGAAGCAGGAATAAGACAGCTCCTACATTGAGGACCTCACAGTCTTGGGGTGGGTGGGAGTGGGGGATGAATATGGAGGTGGGGGAAAAGTAAGAGAAAAATAAAAGACACTGTAGCTGATAATAAGTTTAAGACATTTTCAGATTTCAGCTTTGCCCACTTATTTCAACCAGCACCACTACTGTGATAATTCTCATATCTTTATCTCTATCCCAACATAGTTTTGACCTCCAGTTTCATATTTCCAACTGCCTAGCTGCTGTGTATTTCTGCCCTCTCCAGTCTACCTTACATAACTATATAAGTGAATGCCAAGTTAATACATCAGCTCTTTTCCAGCTCAAAACCCTACAGTGGCTTCCTGCCACTTCTGAATGATGGCCAGATTCAGTCTCTAGTCCTCACAGTGACTTTTACATTACCTTCCCAGTCTCTTTTCCTCTTTTGTCCACCTCCCATACCTGGGTACCATCAGATAATACTGTTTCCCCTTCTTTAATATGATTCATGCTTTCTTGTACTCAGTGACTCTGCCCACTGCATTTTTCCATGGAGAAACTCTCTTTCTTCATCTTTCCACGTGAAGAATTCCTATTTATTCTTTCAGGGCACCTGGGTAGTTCAGTCGGTTAAGCATCCAACTCTTGAGTTTGGCTCAGGTCATGATCTTAGGGTAATGGGACACAGCTCTGCATTGGGCTCTCCACTCAGTGGAATAGTCTGCTTGAGATTCTCTCCCTCTGCCCCTCACCCCACTCACATCCTTTCCCTCTCTCTCTCTCTCTCTCTCAAATAAATAATTTTTTTAAAGGAATGCCCTTTCATTCTTTAAAATCCAAAATCAGTGTTAATTTCTCATGAAACCCTCCATGATGACACTCAAATGGCTTTTTTTTTTCTCTCACCCATAGCATCTCCTTGTAGCATTTTTATGTGAGGAGAAATGGTGAAAGACTTGGATTCATAGGTTGCTAGATCCCCTTCCTATAATGCTCAGTGTTGTCCAGAAATCTATGGGGCCATTCTGGTTTTATATGTCTATTGCCCTTAATGATCTTGGCTAGGCTATGTTGCAAGTCTGCAATCCTTTCTTTCTTTTCTTTTCTTTCTATCTTTCTTTCTTTCTTTAAGATTTTATTTATTTATTCATGAGAGACAGAGAGAGAGAGAGAGAGAGGCAGAGACACAGGCAGAGGGAGAAGCAGGCTCCATGCAGGGAGCCCGACAGGGAACTCGATCCTGGGACTCCAGGATCACGCCCTGGGCCAAAGGCAGGTGCTGAACCTCTGAGCCACCCAGGGATTCCCTGCAATCCTTTCTTGAATACACATTTACTGAAGATTACTGAAAACATACTCTGTGCTTAGCACTGTGCTAGAGATGATACCAATACAAAGAAAACTGTTCTATGAAAGTGTTGAGGACCAGGACATTAAACCCCAGAATATGCCACTTTGCATGTGCATAAGAATTAATTTCAGGGGCTCCTTGGTGGCTCAATGGATTAAGTGTCTGCCTTCGGCTCAGGTCATGATGGAGCTCCACCACATCAATGCTGCTCAGCAGGGAGTCTGCTTCTCCATTCCCTCTGCCCCTCCACCCTGGTTGTGCTCTCTGTCTCTCTCACTCTCTCTGTCTCTTAAATAAATAAAATGTTACAAAAAATTAATTTCAAATGCTGAAGGCATTTGAATTCCTAAAGTCCCTTGACTTAAAAGCAGGGCCTTCCAAAACAATTTAAGTGTCGTAAATCCCCTCCTGAGAATGACTCTAATCTTCTCTTCTGGGAGACCAGAACTCTACACCACACCCAGACAGACAAGGTCACAAGCTAACATGTCTCCCATCTGTTCTTCAAAGGGCCTGTTTATCTTCTTCAAAAGTCATTTGTTTTTCCCTAAGTGTCCTTCTTCCTCCTCCCTTTCCCCTACTAAGTTGGGTATATAGCCCAAATACTAGCCACCCCTTGGAGTTACTCATTTGTGGGTTCTTACTCCCACATGTTACGTACATGGTATACAGAAGTTGATAAACTTGTTTTTCTCCTGTTAATCTGTCCCTTTGTTGTACACCCAAAACAACATGTCAATTATATCTCAGCAAAAAATTTTTAAAAATTTTTAAAGATTTTAAAAATTTATTTATTCATGAGAGACACAAAGAAAGGGGGGGGGGCAGAGTCACAGACAGAGGGAGAAGCAGGCTCCATGCAGAGGGCCTGATGTGGGACTCGATCCAGGGACTCCAGGATCACCCCCGGGGCTGAAGGCAGTGCTAAACCACTGAGCCACCTGGGTTGCCCTAAAATATTTTTTTTTTTAAGAGAGAAAACCAACCAACCAACCAACCAACAAAAATTGTCTTTTACTGGCCTAATTTACAGTGCCCCAGCTGGAAAACCTAGGAGGGGAAAGGGGAAAAGATTTTTCCCCCCTCTCCTTTAGTTTCAAAGGACAACTTTAAAAA